CTCAAAAAAAAAAGAAAAAACTAGCAATAATACATCATACACAAATAAGACTGCTTATCATACTACAGGAATAAGAATTATTACATTTCATACAAGATTAACAGCACAATCTGTGCATTACAATAATCATTTTATTTACTTTTCTTGGTGTAGATGTAATAATGGCGTTATAATGACATATTTATTTTCAGCTGCGTAAGGCTTAAATAAAAATGATTTCTTCGAACGAGATCAAAGGATTACAAGAACTGAAAGGCTACAGTGCTTCACATTTTCTTCGTGAAAATTGATTGCACTGGATCAGTATGTCATGTGGCGGGAAGTGGTTGTCCACACACTGCCCGTACTGTTGAAAATATTGCCCCTGTCGGAGACATTGTACTGAGCCAAGAAGATGCACTACGCACTCATCGCACTGCCAACAGATTGCACAGGAGTTTGGCATACAAAGGTTGACTCAAGCATTCACCACATTGTGAAGAAGGAACAAACTAGAATTACGTTTTCATCTACCTATTTTATGTGCATTTTGAACTTGCACATAAAAAATTAGGGTTGATGGAAACGCCAAGATGTCCATAAATTTTAAAATGCATATAAAAAAATGTATACGCATAACTGAGTAGGATAAGGTTTTTATCAGATAAGAAAAGATGTGCATAAACTATGATGAAAACACTTTTACCGATCAAATTCCAGTATGCACATTAAAAAAAGTCATGTGATTTTGTTATAAGAGATCATGTGATGATAAAAATGTGCGTCAATGGACAAACCAGCAGCCTGAGCACACTTTTAAACATCTGAAATGTTGTTTTGGTCATTCTTCGCCTTAACCATTACAGTATGTTATTATATTAATTGCCTCCAGAACTGTCAAGAGTGTCTGAGCTCCGCTTCTCACGCCTTTAAACGCTACCACACAATCATTGCGTGTCAGCATTTGTCTTCTGAGGAGCAAGTCATTTATTAAATAAAGAAAATATTTACTCAACTTCTCCTACCACAGCAAATTCTGTCTTGATTGTTGATATTTGGCGCCAGTTTATCAGGAAGTGACTATTTTGATCGCTTTGACTCGCTGGATGGAAAAGTTGCTCTATTTGCACATCTTTTATGCCCTATTTCAGTTTTGCCCAAAACGATAATTCACATATTTGGATGAAAACATAGCTATACACTCAAGATCTGCAGTTTCTGGACAAATGTCCAAGCCACATGGTGAACTTTATATTTTTCACCGCTAAAAAAACTATTCACTGTTGCTGCCCCAACCAACACGCAGAATGATCGTTTTTACGACAGTCAATTTTGCTTGGATTTTTTGAGACACTATGTATATTATTATTAATTTTTGAACGTATTTATTTATTCATTTGGACAAACAACAATGCAAATAAATTAATGAGTAAAATAAAAGAAATAAAATAATAAATAAAACTATTGTTGCGCATATTGTACCTTTAATATATTCAAACCTGGTAGATCCTTTAGTAAACAATTTTAACAAACAATATAAAATAAATAAAAATTGGTTCACATTTTTTTGCATGGATTAATGTATATACATGCTGTAGCTACCCGTATTTCCTTGTTTTATACATAGAATGCTTTTTAAGGGTACAGACACACACACACACACACACACACACACGCACGCACGCACAAACATCAGTACATTCATTGCTGAGTTGAGTTAAATCAACAAAGAAAGGGTCAAAATGTGTCCACATATCCTCATTACAGACAATATGCTCTACCCATTGTATTTCCATCAATATAAGTAGATGTATGCTGTTCTTGTAGGACATTCCAATTTGTGTTTGTTTCATCCAACATGCTACATGTAATTTCCTGCGCCGTTTCATTTCTCTTTTCATTCTCCAATCTGTATGTCAAATTGAGCAAGCAGACTAGGACAGCTGAAGAGCATCTGAATCCAGCTGGGACTCAGAACAATCACATTCACTCACTGTCAACCTTTTATACAGACTCTGATGCCTCCCAATTCATAATGCTCTCTAATGAGCCTCGTTCATGCGCAGGTTTGCTTTACAGAGATTTATATCCTTCATATTCTCCCAGACTTCTCTTCTCTACTGGCGTACTGTACTGATGTAGAGAAATTACAGTCCTCCGGCATTACCTGAAGTCTCAAGTCATAGATCTGTTTGATGCATAGTGCATAAACTCCCCGTATCAATTGCAATTCAGTCCGAGCACTAAGAAAATCAGCCCTTTCATTTGCCGCCCACCGTCTTTTTGCAGAAAAACAAGCTGGCCTCATCATTATTCTTAGGAATGAGACTTCCAGACGCTTCCCAGGTTCAGGGATGGGATTAAGAGGGGCTTCTTAAAATGCACCATCAAAGGTCTTCAACTTCTGATGGAGCTGCTCAATTAGAGTTTCGACTTCTTGAACTTCTTGATTTTTTTTGGAGTTTGCTTATTTAATGAAACTCCCCAGAACTTCATGATATAGGATTGTGAAACTGGTTAACAAATCTGGTTGGCTAAGTGGATTACTGTATATGTTTGGTTAATGATTTTCACTCAGAAGTTGATTGTAGATTTCACAAAAACGTACATACATATATTAGAAAAACTGAAGCATTTTTAAAAAGTAATCTTTATGTAAAACTGTGTTGTATATTTATGACTTCCCAGACATTCTTATGTGAAGCTGCTTTGACACAATATACATTGCAAAAGTGCTATACAAATAAAGCTGAATTGAATTGAATTGAATTGAATTGAACATTCAGAGAAGAAAGTTAAGTGTAAAAACACTTTCACTCAGAAATAGCAAGTTCATTTTGTCTCTAAATACAAGGAAATGGCAAGTAACAATGTAAAGTTCAATTTTTGAAGTAGAAAAACTAAAATATTATTTTGGTTAAATGTGACTGTGGGATGTACGGTGGCACACACTTGTCTCACAGCAAGAAGGTCGCTGGTTCAAGCCTCAGCTGGGCCAGTTTGCATTTCTGTTTGGAGTTTGCATTTTCTCACTGTGTTTGTGTGGGTTTTCTTCAGATGCTCTGGTTTCCCCCACAATTCAAAGACAGGTGGTACAGATGAATTGAATAAACTAAATAGGCCGTAGTGTGAGTGTGTGCAAGAGTGTGTTGGTGTTTCCTAGTGTTGGGTTGCGGCTGGAAGGGCATTTGCTGCTTAAAACGTGCTGGATAAGTTGGTGGTTCATTCCGCTGTGGCAACCCCTGAATAATAAAGCCATTAAGCTAAAAAGAAAATGAATGAATGAAATTTGACTCTGGACAAGTCCAGTTATAAGTGTATTTTTTAAAGCTGAATAAATTAGCTTCCATTTGATGTAGTGTAAGGACTTGATAACGTTTGAGCAAGAAACCACTATTTGAAAATCTGGAATCTGAAGTTCAGATAAATAATGAGTAAATCACTTTTTGGGCCCTATCACGGCGCAAGACATGTTTGACGTTATGATTTTCAGCCCAGTGCAGTCATAATTTTCATGTTTTGCGCCGCATTGTTTAAATGGCAAATCCATTTGTCACTTTGTGGATTCATGGGTGTGCTGGTCTAAAAAGGAGCTGTGTTAAGGCACATTGTTGGCACGTTGCTATTTTGAGGAACTAAAATAGACTGTGCCATCGACCAATTAAAAGCTGGTCTAAAATCCAGTGCAGAATGCGTTAGTTAATCGCCTATGTGGTCCAAACGCTTACACATTGCTTAATACACACAGAATGTACAGCAATACACAAATATATTTACGTATAAAAAAAATTTTAAGGATTAAAATTTTACAAAAATTATTATTTTCCACGCAAATACAAAAACCACTACCCCCATGCCTTCTTCACGTCAGGGGACTTTTTAAGGTTATTCATGACAGCTTGCATTTGTATATTATTATTATTATTATTAGCAGTATCATTTATTATATTCATATTAATATTCCTTTTAATAACAAGTTTAGATTTATCCACATGTCAGGTTTTGGTGACGTATGCATCACCATATAGGACATAAGAATAGGAAGTGTGTTTAAATATAACCCAGTTTTTAGATCACACTTCATTGTTATTGTTTATTTATTCATTTGCTGGAAATTAGAACTGAATTTAGAAACAGTTTTGAAACAAAACTTTGTGCATAACAAACAAAATTAAATATGTGTGTACAATATCGTTTCCTTATCCGGAAAAGTAAGGGAGCAAAGTAAAGAGTAAACGTAAAAAGGTCGAATGGAGGAGGCTTGTTCTTTATCCTTGCGCTCCAGATGATTTGTTTACGTATTTTTTCGCTAGTAAAGCATTCAGTTTTTCCACTTACAAAGTCCACCATGCAAATAGCTAATGCACCATGGCGTGACGCAACTGACTCTTAAAAGAAATGGGAGATGAGATTCTGATTGGTTTAATGCACGCTATACTGAAAATACACTCAAAACTCATTAGGAGAATAAGTACAACCATGCACCAGGCTGCAGAGCTTAATTTTCCGTCCTTAAAATAGTAAAAGTGAATTCGGACATGCCCTTAATGCTTTTTTGCCATGCACTTGTTACCATAGACTTTTCACCTAGACTGTTAAAATAGAGCCCACAAAGTTGCACAGATAAAGCAATACATATTACTACTCAGCTTTGACAAAAAGTAACAACTCTGTACAATGTGTAAACAAGTTATTGCTGCCTACAATTTCTTGAATTTTCTGAAGCAACTTATCTTTTCTAGTCATCTCAACTGCACCATTGAAGTTGATTAAATGCTAACCTTTGTTTACAATCTTAGTTGAAACCTGATTAATGTGTTAAAATAAGTTAAAGTAACAAAAACACTTGTTATGACTTTGACTCATATTTATTTTACAGTGTAGAAACAATTTTACTTTTATTTTGTTTATTTTGAACTATTTTTGTGCACATGCAATGAAAAAAGACAAGAAAACTGTTTATCAAACTGCTACAACACTCACAATTGAGTCACAATTCCTAATCTGTTCTGGTTCCCCAGCTTTGAAGGACAGTCGGTTTCAGCTGGTAAACTTCTCCGACAACGAGCTCTTGGTGTCCCTGTCCAACGTGTCTCTGTCGGACGAGGGCCGCTACGTGTGTCAACTCTACACGGATCCACCGCAAGAAGCCTACGCCGACATCACTGTACTGGGTATGATTATCGATTCACCTCATTGATTCCTTCACTCAATTGAACTTGTCTAATTGAATCTCACCATGACACAATATCAACCAATTACTCTCATGCCGTTTCCAATAACGCGCAGCAAACAAAAAGGAACAGATGTTGCGCTATTGATATTGGTAGCTCGCTTTTGGCAGACGTATTGACTGAATTCCTCTTAGATGTTGAAAAGGCTACATCGAGCGATTCGGGAGTTGGCTTTGTGCGCTGAATGACACTAACATTAGAGATTTATTATGCAGTGTGTTTGGACATCCTGGAGAGCTGAATGGGATTGAGTGCTCTCTAAAGTAGCATGAGTTTTATGAGGATATGCGTTCTGTCACAGCATGGACTCTTAACCACAGGACATGAAAGCGTGAGGCAAGATATTAGAAAAAGAGCCCTCGAATGGCAGCTTTTGTAGTGACAGACGCTTTAGAGCCATCAGCAAAGCAGAGTATGAGGTAATGTGCGATGAAAAAATGAAACATGAGTAAAGCGGCTTGTCAGTCGCTTGAGTGGGTCTGGCACTGTCCAAATACACAATGAGATAATCAGAATATCCAAATGCTTTTGGATCGAGCTCTGAATGTTTCACATATAGATGGAACAATTCGGATTGATGTTAATCTAGCTATAATTTAGCCAATTAAGTAGTTAATTGCTTAATAAAAGCAGAACATGTTGATATATATATATCAACTGTATATATGTTGTGTATACATATTTACACCTAAAGTCTGAATTATTAGCCCTCCTTCTAATTTCTTTTATCTTTACCCATTATGATAGTACATAATATTTTAGTAGACATTTTCAAGATACTAGTGTTCAGCTTGAAGTGCTATTAAAAAGTGCTTACTAGATTAACTAGGCAAGTTAGAGAAATTGGGCAAATCATATAGTATTATTTGTTACATATGATATGCATGTTAAAATAAGTTTAAAGTATGTTTAACTGAGCTAATCTTGTTTCAACTTAAATATTCAAGACATTTGTGTATTTTTTTTTTTACAAAAAAATAATACAATATTTTAGTATACTATATATAGCTACATTAGTTAGCTAGACTGGTTTAAGATTTAAACTATTTGGTTTATTGTTGGTCCAGCCTACCGGTTCAGCAAAGTATTTTAATCTAACGCCAAACTGTTGAGTCTCATTGAAAATACCATTAAGAATAAGAATAAGAATAAGAATAAGAATAAGAATAAGAATAAGAATAAGAATAAATTATTTATTTTACTTTGACTCAGTCCCCTAATTATCAGGGGTTGCCACAGCGGAATAAACCGCCAACTACTCTGGCATATGTTTTACTCAGTTGATTCTCTTCCAGGTACAACCCAGCCCTGGGAAATACTACTACTGCTACTACTACTACTACTACTACTACTACTTCTATTACTACTACTACTAATAATAATAATAATAATAATAATAATAATAATAATGATAATAATAATAATAATGATAATAATAACAATTTTCCTTTGGCTTAGCCCCCTATTTAGCATGGGTTGCCACAGCAGAATGAACCACCTACTCATCTGGCATATGTTTTACGCATGCTCTTCCAGGCCTAAACAGTATAAGAAAATGAGTAAAAACACATTACATTTACAAATACAATAGTATTAGTGAAAACCAGTAGTAGTAGTAGCCGAGTGACAAGTATTTTGCTTTGTAATGCAATGAAGTAAACAAATAAATGTGTAAACAAACAATTATAATAATTAATCACACAATAAAACAAAAATAAATAAATGGTGACCATTTTGACATTTGACAATGTACTACTACTACTACTACTACTACTACTACTACTACTACTACAAATAATAATAATAATAATAATAATAATAATAATAATAATAATAATTTGTTATTAGTAAATTACAGATATTTGAAAACTGTTCTTAATTATATTAAATGAAAAATACGTACATGATATTTTGTATATATTTACTTTATAATTTATTTACCTTCATATATTTGTGTGATACTTTCAAACACAAATTGTTACAAAGGAGCTCTGCAAAAAGTGTCTCAGAACAGCCCACTGAGGAAGCCACAGGCGACAGTAGCAGACCCCTAACCGGGTGAGGTGGGATGAGGTACAAACCTTAGGAGAAACCAAGGACGTCTTGCTGGTTGAGCTTGTTAAAAAGCCTGGTGGGGACCCCAGCACACCAACAACCCATGCTGGAGACCAAAACACACACTATAGGGTATTTTGAGATAGAATGGTGAAAAAAGAGAGTATGATTCAAAAACAACACATTTTTCACATCATTTTCAGGGTTAGTTTACCCAGAAATGAAAAATCCAAGTCATTTTAAGCACACATGTAAACATTTCTTAAACGAAATGTGAGAGATTTCTGTCCTACCATTGAACATCTATAGAGTATTCAATAAATGAATTTATATGAATCTAGAGATTAAATCCAAGTTTGCTGGTTTTCACAACATACATTTTCACACACAAACACAGACAAAATTGCAATTTTGTTATATTTTTTACAAATTCATATGTATTTATTTTGTATATCTTTCCATTTTTGACAAATGAACCATACATGTTTTATACAAAAGGAAAGATTGTACTTAAAAGGCTAAAATGCTAATGTTTTAGCTTAGCACAGCATCAGAGTACCAAAGCTTACGACAATAACTACCTAATTTTACAGCAAACACATTTATTACATTTCATCTGTTGAGTGCTTGAAATAACCTTCTTTGTAAATAGCTGTGTCTTATGATCACGAAATAAGGCAGAATATACTGTTTAATTGCCTAGAATGTGATACAGACTATGTCTGTCAGCATTACATTATAAATATTATTCTTGTAAAAACTGAATGGACCATTTACTGTTGCAATCTTGTGTTGATTTTTCTTTACATTTCATCGGTCAAAACATTTATTCAGCAACAGCAACAGCTAAACGTCTTTGTTTCTATAATGGATTACCTGGAAAGTCATAATTGAATGAAGCTTCCTGGAAGTAAATGAAGCAAATTACATGTGAGAGTTTATCGCTCTATAATGACACTGGTGCTTAATTATTAATTTAACATCACCTATACCGCCAATGTGACAGACCTAATTAACATTTATATTGGTTTGTTTTACAATATATGTGCTTCACCTGTAAGAAACCTAACATTTAGTTCTACGCAGTATTACTACATGGATTAAGGTTAAGGTTTATGTAATAATTATAGTTATACTACATTAATGATAAATGCTTGTTTTTGGTTAACTTTTAGCAGTTTAAGTTTTTTTTTTTTCAGGTAGATTTTGACTATTATATTTCAGTTATTTCACACACATACAGTTGAAGTCAGAATTATTAGCCCCCCATGTTTATTTTTCCCCCAATTTCTGTTTAACAGAGAGATTTTTTTTCAGCACATTTCTAAGCATAATAGTTTCAATAACTCATTTCTAATAACTGATTTATTTTATCTTTGACATGATGACAGTAAATAATATTTGACTAGATATTTTTCAAGACACTTCTATACAGCTTAAAGTGACATTTAAAGGCTTAACTAGGTTAATTAGGTTGACTAGTCAGGTTAGGGTAATTAGGCAAGTTACTGTATGATGATGGTTAGTTCTGTAGACTATTAAAAAAATATAGCTTAAAGGGATACTAATTTTGACCTTAAACTGGGTTTAAAAAATAAAAACTAACCGAAATAAAACAAATAAGGCTTAATCCAGAAGGAAAAATATTATCTGACATACTGTGAAAATTTTCTTGCTCTGTTAAACATCATTTGGGAAATATTTAAAAAAGAAAAATAAATTCAAAAGGGGGCTAATAATTTTGACTTGAACTGTAAAGTCAAAAATCAATTCAAATTAAAACAAAAGGCTTTGAAAGGTGTGTAAGAAAATATTCCACACAGAAACAGTATGTGGACAAAATCTTGACTTATGTTTTGAAAAGTAACATCTGAACAAAGTTTTATTTGTGGTAAGCGTACTATAAATGTAATGATTAACTATGGTTTGTTGAATTCTGTTTTGCACAACAATGTGATGATGAAGCCACAATGTTAACTGAAGTCTGTTTATTCCTTTTTGGGTAAATAGTACGTACTATATGAGAAACAGCACTGTAAAATAACATGCTACTAAACAATTTTATTTATAAAATACTGCGAATATTATTGATTAAAAGTCAATTAAAAATACATCTAAAACTAAAATTATTCCTCTAAAAAAAAATGTAAAAAAATGTAAAAAAAAACATTTATTTACAATAAATGAATGAGAAGAAATGAAAAGAAAAAAAGGAAAATAAATAAAAATAAAATAAAATAAAAAAGTAAATAAATGAAAAGAAATGAAATGAAACTAACAAAAACCACTGAAAAAAAAAGAAAATTATATACAGCTGAAGTCAGAATTATTAGCCCCCCCTGAATTATTAACGCCCCTGTTTATTTTTCCCCAGTTTGTGTTTAACTGAGAGAAGATTTTTTCAGCACATTTCTAAAAATAATAGTTTTAATAACTCTTTTCTAATAACTGATTTATTTTATCTTTCCCATTATGACAGTAAATAATATTTGACTAGATATTTTTCAAGACACTTCTATACAGCTTAAAGTGACATTAAAAGGCTTAACTAGGTTAATTAGGCTAACTAGGCAGGTAACAAGGTAATTAGGCAAGGTATTGTATAACAATGGTTTGTTCTGTAGACTATCAAAAAAAAAAAAACTGCTTAAATGGGCTAATAATTTTGACCTTAAAATGGTTTTTAAAAATTCAAAACTGCTTTTATTGTAGCCAATATAAAACAAACAAGACTTTCTCCAGAAGAAAAAAAATATTATCAGACATACTGTGAAACTTTCTTTGCTCGATTAAACATAATTTGGGAAATATATAAAAAAGAAAAAACAATCAAAGGGCGGCTAATAATTCTGATTTCATATATCAATTTAAGAATTATTAAATATTCATCTTGATCTTCATTTACCAAAAAATGTAAACAGTGTATGTTTAACTGCATACAGTAGGTCACAGATAATTGAGCATGCTTGCTTGACACGTGGGAACCAATGAGATTCATTCTTGCATGTATCATGATCACAATATGAGTGAAATCTCACGTATCAAGCTGTAGCAGCATTTGAGATTTGGATAATCAGATTTTCAAAAACCTCTCAATTGTATTAACATTATAAGTTTGGCACAACATAAAGATGTGCAAATGATGAAAATGTTTTTATTTTGATGCGAACTAACCCTTTAAGTTTTTGATAGTCATCAGCAGATCTTTGTGAAATAACAGTTTGTCCTTTACCGAACGTGCTGATAAAAAAACATTGATCCAACGCTGAAGAGCTGTCGCACCGTCTCTAATCCTGCTGTTGATCTTCTGCCAGTTCCACCAGGCAACCCAATCTTAGAGTCCCGCGAGGAAATCGTGAGCGAGGGGAATGAGACCGAGATAACCTGCACCGCCATGGGCAGCAAACCTGCTTCCACCATCAAATGGATGAAAGGCGACCAACCACTGCAAGGTCTGACTCAGATCCAAGGAAGATTGTACAGATAAGTCTGCCGCGATTACTGACGTGTCTGATCCGCACCATGCTTTAGCATTCTGCCTTCATAATGACTTTTAATTAAGCCTTCAGAAAGTGTTTCCGGCGAATTGACAAGGCGAGCACAACACACACAGGCATCTAAAAGCGGATTTTTTGGTGCTTTTTAGTCAAGCTTAAATAAGTAGTTTTGAATGAACTCCAACTGTTTACCTCCCACTCAGCAAATGCTGCCCACATATTAGTTCTCACTGGTTAAGGCAGTGCGGGCTGGCATAAAGGAGTGAATGCGCAGGCTGGTTAATGTGCTTATAAACAGCTTTTCTCCATTAGACAGCAGGGTGGGACTGTTGAATAACATTCAGATAGACTACCTGGGGAAACAGAGGCAAACATGGCAGATGATATGGCGCATTTGAACAGAATCTACACAGTAAAATCCGCTGTGTTAATTAAGCTGTGTTAATCTGCATTTACTCAAAATGAGTTAATTTTACAAGAAACGGTGAAAGACACCCCCTTGTGTTGGTGAAAATGATCAGAGTTGTATTCTACGTCGTTAACTTTGCTCTGTTAAGCTCCGCCCCTCAATCTACCCCCTGCAGAGAACGTGTTGGAGTTTTGTCGGCGCCATTTTCTGCTCCCTCGTGCGTATAGGTAAGCTCTCTTGTTTAACGTCTTAAAACATCATTTTATCGATTTATATGAGTAAATGTGCTAATACAACGGTATATGTTGTACTTTGATGAGTTTTGTTTCTTAAAACATTGATTATGAGTCACTTTGTGACCGTGTAATTCGATCGATTTTATCACAGTGTGGTCACCTTAACGTTAAAGATGAAGCTTAAACGATGCCAATGATCTTACTTAAATTGTTTTTGCGATTTCTAATCTTACTTTTGTATTCATTTAGTTTTGTACTGTGAACTCTCTGAAGAAGGCGTTAACGTTAGGCTACATTTAGCCTCGAAGTTTTGCTTTCAAGAGCAACTCTGCAATGTTCCAGGTAACTGTTAGGTCAGTATTTTGTTGTTTCAACATATTAAGATGGTAACTTACAGAGAAAGTTATATGATATAAACATATGTAGTGTAAAATTAACTGTCTCTGTATGGCTGTCCAGCTCACTGCTGGTTAAATATTTTCAGTCAATTTCAAATTACTTCCTAATTAACGTTTCTCTGTTAAGAGGTTGCATTTTAACAGCTTGTTAGTGTTGTCATGATACTGTTTTTCGGTAGCAATTAACGTTACTGAAATTCGCTGTTGAGCGCGGTCCTAAACCCCGCCGTTTGGCCGTGAAGGTCATCAGTTCACCGCACTTAACGTTAACCGCTGTTTACCGAGTGCAAACACCGATACAGAGACAGCGGATCATTTTAAAACTGTGAATCATCAGCGGATCTCTTAAATGTCAGCCCATAGACACGCCAGCTCATCTTCGCGGCTTTTAAAACGATCAAGTGGTGTGCATCTGTGCTTGTGCCCGGTAAACAGTGGTGACATGTAGTGATGGGTCGTTCATAAACGATTCGTTCATTTTGAATGAATCTTTTGTATGACTCGAAAACGTTGAGTCCTTTCGGAGTGATTCGTTTAATTGCACAATTGTGCTGGTGGAGCAGAAGATTCGTTCCTTTTCGAGTCTTCTAAGTTATGTGCTTTGAGTCGTTCGTTCATCGCGTGAAAGACAGAAGCCAGTCATGCATTTAGAGCCGGAAAAAGTTTTGATTCGTTCATTTATCGAGTCTTCGGATTTGATTAATCTCTCTTCACGTGCTGCCACATGATAAACGAACGACTCAAAAACCAGAAGACTCGAGAGGTAAACTAAAAATCATGGCTCCTTTTGGCAGCTTAATTAATGTGGGTCTGTGTGACGTGAACGAACCACTGACGTTTGAAGAGCTGAAGCTGATAATCATAAGCCGCTTTTCCACTATCGTGCTGAATCGTTCTTTAAACAGAACTGTTCCATTCCGTGCCAAACCAGGCCAGACAGCACGGATACGGTTTCATTTTCCACTGTCGTGCTGCGACAAAGCTCTTTAAAACATTACACAAAACGCATCAGTAGTTGCCTTGGTAACGCAATGTAAACGGCTCCCTTTGTTCAATTAAAGTTAAATAAGAGCCGAAACTATTTATTTATTATTTTCATAAAAGCAAAAGCAACCATGTGACTAAACACTGTTATGCCGCTCTATCATATAGGGGTGCTAAATATAGGTACATGTGCACCCTTTAATATGTTGCGCAGCTCTGGCTAAATTTTATTTGGAGGGAAAATTACCAAAATGTAACGTGATGATTGAAAATAATTGGAGGGGAAATACATAATATTTAAAATCTCTGAACATAACAAAAAAATAAACAATGATAAGACAACAATAATATTGCATTTGCATTATAGTGGCAGAAATATAATTTTGGACAGGCCTTGTCAAAGGTGAGCGGGCACTTTCACTAATAAAAACACAGCACTTAAATTATTTCTTTTTAAACAATTATTTAAATTACACTGCGTTTTTATATAAAAAGTTGATAATGATATAAAATATACTACATTTTGATGGTAAAATGAAACCAATTAAGTGATGGCTGTTATTTGTTTTACTATTCAAACATTAAATAACGAATGCAGCAAGTGAAAAAAAACGAATATGAAAATATATCGCAGGATTTAAAGCATATAAAGCACTATTATATTTAGCAAAATGATGCTCTATTATCTTTTTATTTTGATCATTTTATTTTTATTATTATAATTATTTTTGTGTTCATAATTAACTAACAAGCTGTAGGCGAATTATTGCTAGACGTTTTAGAAAATATTTGCGTAGCTATAATAAAGATCACCACAAAAAAAAAAAAAAAAACACACAGAAACATGTTACATGCCTCATAAATGTCATATAACTTATGTATAATTGAATCATATAATTGCCTATAGCTGAAATGATAAAAATTGCTCATTTTATTTTTATAAAACATTTGTGAAAACGTATTGATATTTTTTGAGTAAAAGCAATACTGACATTCAAGAATCCATATTTATTTAATTCATTCATTCTTTTGACTTGTTTATTAGTGCATATGCTATAATATAAATCATACAACAGTACCTTGGACAGTTACAGTGCCGCTCCGTAAAGCTTTCAAGCAAAGTCTTTTGGACGGCCGACATTACAACACGAAAATGCCGTCCTTCAGTTGGTCTCGCCGGTATTAACAAGCTGTCCTGGCTTTGAATTAAAAAGTGCAATTATTTCCTCGTTGTTAAAAGAGTCTGCAAGTTCGTGTTCCATGGATATAGTGATGTTGTTGTGGAATTTGGACATCGACGATGCAAAGCGTGACTTTATTCGCTTTATTCGATGCGCAGCAGGAAAAAAAAGTCAGCAGCGCAAGTCGCTTGCATGTCTCTCCCGGATCAGAGCGAGTTTTGTGCTGTGGAATACAGCGCTGCGTGCAATAAACTCACATTCAGGCAAGCGATGTAGGTCTGTATTCAAGTCAATAAAATAATAACTTTAATGAATAAAATATCTTCGTAAGAATGTGATGAGTTATTCACTTCTCTTCCAGAGACTGCTCTATGGTTTTAAAATCCTTTACAAATATCGTTTAGACCTGGATCATTATTTTATATTAAATGTACTGTAGTTTATTGAGGATGTCTGATGACTAGCGCGCTTCTGCTGAGCCAGCTGTGGTAGCTTAGCAACCGAGTCGCGACGTCAACACACAGAATCTGTCAGCACAGTTCAGCACGGTTGTCTAACCGTGCCGAAAATTCCGGGCCAAGAACGGTTTGTAATCGTGCCGCGCCGTTCCAGGCTCAGTGGAGAAACAACCGTAACCGTACCGAAGTGTTCTTAGAACGGTTTGGCACGATAGTGGAAAAGCAGCTATAGACAAAAGACCAGGTAAACAATAAATGATGATTTACTCTTACAGCATTCCAAGTTATGACTTGTTTGTGTAATGTGGCAACGTCTGTGCTAGTTGTAGATGAGTTTGGAAACAACTTATTACATTTTAATAATATTTTGGCTACTCAAAAACACTTAAATATTAGCGGAAATGGATGCTTTTAATTCCAGTACCAATTGGTACCAAAATTCAGTATCATGACAACCCTTCAGCACAGACATTATTTCAAAACTAAGTGGATTAGAATCATTTTGGTGAATCATGGTGAATGTGTGTTATACTTTGACATAACAGGAAAATGATTGTTGACATATTGGTGTTTTCTTTCCCCCAAGTTTCTGTGCATATAAGGCTCTAGAGATCACATTGTGAGTAAAACCTTTAAGTACTTGTGTAATTACTTTACTAACTGGGATGACCAATTCTTAAATAATAAATATATGTTAATGGTTATAAAATCATGCAAAAATTTATAAACCTATGTGCCATTTTTGTGTCATTTATAAATTTATGTATGATTAAAGTCCCCCCCCCATTGGCACCTGTATGAAACATTCTCATTTTTCTTACAGAGCATGCTGGTAAAGGTGAAATTTGGGGATGCACAAAAGTTTGTTAAAATAGCCCATCTGAACCTGGAGGACTTTTTGTCTGCAGGTAAGAAACAATTACACTTTTGTTATTCAGATTTCTTATTTGGTATGTGGTCAATTTAAATACTGATGTAAATGCTGCTGTGTTATGTTTCCAGATGATATTCAGAGTTACCAGTATATAACTGATCAGCTTTCACATTTTATTATTATTATGCAATATATTATTTATGTATTGTTTAGCCTTTTTGAAGTTTGGGGTTCCAAATGTACCTGAGAACGTGAAGGTTGTGGATGAATCTGGGACTGAGGTGGATGGTGATGTTTTTGAGGAGTTAATCAAAGATCCCTCCGTTGGCGTTCTCACCATAAAACATGGTGCAGGTTTGTATTTTATCACATTATTTGACTGTAATGTTTCACATTTTTTGTCATAGAGACTTCCTCACCTCCCCCCTCCTTATATTGTTTATGCAAACAGATTTGGAACCGGCCTCTCCACAATCATCTTCTATGCATTTAGATCAGTCTCTGTCTTCATCCATTGACTCCCTTGACTATCAGGATACAGTCATTATTGAAGAAGGCCCTGACAGTAAGCGAATGAAGCTGGATGATGAAGCAAAAAAGGTGGACTTTTTTTTTCTACATAAAAATGATTTTAATTGAAAAAATATATAATTTACATTTAATTTAAAAATTCATTTTTTGCTTTTTGTTAGGTGTGTTTGTTTAATTTGTTTATAACCTGCCTTTTCCCCTCTTATTTTAAAGCTGGTGCAATCTGTTCTCGTCAAGAAACCTGGAGGCGAGAGTATAATAAATGAGTATAACAGAACAAAGGCTTTGAAGGATGAAACGAGGAGAAAAATGGTTAATATCCTGGCAGCTGATATGACCGAAAAAAATGGGTAATCTGCAAAGTACTGATTTGTGTGTACACATAGCTACTTGATATAGTTGTGGATTTATTTATTTTATTATTTTTTTATAATTAATCATTATTTTGCAGAGGGTCCCCACCAAGGCTGGTCAAAGAAAAATATGCCAGAGGAATCGTGGCTTTGTTCCCTTACCTCAGTGACCCCTATTCCAAAAATGGCTTTGTAAGTCTTGCACCTTTTTAAAATTTTACATTTGTGTTGCCACGTTTTTTTTTTTTTTTTTTTTACACACCTATACTACAGATGGTATATTTTGCTCCAGTGTCCCCCTTTTTACCCATTTTTATCTCTTTAGGAGCATTACTATGATGGTGAGAGTGGCACCGGATATTTGGCATGGAGAATCAAAACTATTCAGAGAAACCTGGCTAAAGAACGACGAGGATCATTTGAAGGTACAAAATGAACTTCAGAAATGTAGCAATCTAATTTTCTTTGTGCTTGGATGATTATTTTTTTTATTTTGTATAAACAAACAGTTAAAATTAGTTTTGTTGTTTGTTAGGTCAAGTGTCGTATGCTGAGCGGGGATCCGGTGGACCAACTGTAGCAAGGCATTCAAAGTTTACTCCAGAGATTGTCCTTAGTGAGGATGAATGCAAGGAAGCAATTGCATTCATGAACCATTCTGCTGATGAGGATGCCATCAAGAAGAAAATGAAACTGACATTTGACTATCGTCGTAAGATGGTTCTTGATCCCATGCAGTCCAGTGATCTATTGACAATTTTTCCTCGTTTCAAGGACATTAAAGGCTTGGTAAGTGTTTATAATCATATTTGATAAATGGTTTGTTGTATAAAAATCAAATAGTCAGTGGTGACATGAGTTTAAAGATTTGCCCTAAGCATTACAATAATTAAAATGTTATGCTTATTAGATTGAGCAAGACTTTGTTCTGATGTTTGGAGAAGGAGTGTCAGGCAAGCTGCTAGAGAAGTGGACAACAGCATTCAAGAAAAAAGTCATTCAGCAGTGCAAAAGACTTCCTGCAACCAGCGATTTACAGGAACTTTTGCTAGCAGCAGAATCTCTTCGTGATGACACTGAAGAAGATGTTCATATTGGTAAGAATTTTGATTAATGTTTAGGTAATGTTTCATACCATGGTTATTATAATATTTAAAGGAACCCAAGCATGAATGAAGTTAGCCATAGTTACACACTGTCAGTTTAATTTTTAATTGTTCATATTCAATTGGAATTCATTCATATATATGTGTGTGTATTATTGCAAATCATATTCATCAATTTTTTTATATTTTGGTAGTTTGGATCAAAGTTTTATCAGATTTACAAATAATTGGATTCAAACTAAGATTGTTAATGTAGCTTTAGTCACTTTGTATATATTTTTGGCTTTTTTATGTAGTTAACTTCTAGTTTTCCACATTGTTTTGCTGCGAGTTAACATTTATTATATTTACCAATTGTTTGTTACCTGTTTAAACAGTTTGGGACAGCGACCTTGCTTCAGTACTACTACTGTTGCATCTGATTCCACCATCTGCTCAAGGCCGGAAGAGACCAGGGAAAGTTTCTGCTTCTCAAGCAGAAAATCATCTTGTTGTCTTCAAGAAGGTTTGTTTGCTGGTTTTATTTAATGATTGTTCTGTCATAGTTTGTTATTATTTAACTTGTTAGTGATGTTTCTTTTTTACTTGCTTGCTTTTTTTTTTTTTAGAGTGGAACAAACATCGAGGAGCATCTGCAAGACATCTCTGCGAGCGCTCAGCCCTATCTCCTGGCTGTAGGTCCTCAGAAGGATTCAATTCACCAGTTCTTCATCATCCTTGATCAGCATGCCATTCCATGCAAGTCCACCTCTTCTCTTGGTGCCTTTGATGAACTGTTTAAGGCACATTATGTTTTTGGCACCTCTTACAACACCATGCTGCACAACATGTACACTTTCATTCAAACCACTGTGTACAACATAGATGTTGGGAAAGTGAAAGAAAGTCCTCGTGTTGCTGAGGTTAGGGCAAGGCTGCTTAACTAGGTGCCTAAAGTTCCAGTGCACTCATGAAGTGTTTTGTTTGTGAGACGGAATTAAATGGTTCAAAATTGCTTGTTAGGCACTTCAGATTTGTTCATGGTTTGGTTCCTGGAAAGAGCCTTCGACTTAAATGTGTAGAGGCAGGATGCGGTTCTGAGTTTGGTACCTTCTCAGGTTTTAGAAAACATTTGAATATAAAACATCCTGAACAATGTGAACAGAGTTGTGACCCTAGTGGCATCTGTGAGACAGAGGAAGAAAATAGTGCTGCAATGTTCCACCAGAGTGACAGTGCTGAAGATGTGGCCACAACATCTGTAATGTTAAAGTCTAATAAGAACACTTTAGATATGTGTGCGTCTGCTGTTGCACAACTTAAAGTTGCTGGTTTAAGTCAGTCTGCAATAAATGGTTTTGTTTCATCTATGGAAGAAGTGGTTTTTGAGATTCATAGTCAAGCCCAGGATGCAGCTTTGCTCTGTATATCTTCTGAGGACACTGTTAGTAAAAGGAAAATAGAGGAATCTTTTACAAATTTAGAAAATCCATTTACTTTGTTAAATTCGGAAGTCAAGCGACAGCGACTGTTTACAGCGAAATGGGGGATTGTTGAACCTAGTGAAATAGTACTCGGCACAAGATTTGACAGCAGAAGAAATAAAACTACAGGAACATTTGATCAAGTTGTTGTGACTGATAAATTTTCTTATATTCCCATTTTAGAAACACTAAAGACAATTTTAAAAAATCCACAACTTACCGATTTGTTTAAACCCAGGCACATTTCAAAGGAAGGAATTTATGTGGACTTAAGTGATGCGGCACATTTTAAAAGCAGTCCTTTATTTTCTACAGAAAAAGATGCCTTACAAATTCAGTTATTTTATGATGATTTTGAGACCGCTAATCCAATGGGCTCAAAGAAAGGTATACATAAATTGGGTGCAATCTATTTTTCATTAAGAAATTTCCCACCAGTTTTTAACTCCTCACTGGTTAATATTCATTTATGTGCCCTCTTTCATGCACAGGATGTTAAGCGCTATGGTTTTAACTCCATAATTGAGCCCCTGGTCAATGATCTGAAAGTGCTTGAAATTGAGGGAGTTAAGAATCCAGTGTCTGGAAGATGCATTAAGGGTACTATCGTTCAAGTCACAGGGGATAACCTAGGTCTGCACAGCTTGTTTGGCTTTCTGGAATCATTTGGGGCTCGATATTGTTGTCGTTTTTGTCTGCTTGAGAAGCATCAGTTTCAGTCAGTGTTCTCTGAAGATAGTCCTGAGGTTGAACTAAGAACTGCTGAGATGCATGCTCTGCATTGTGAAACTTTACAGTCTGATTCTACACTACCTCACGTGTATGGTGTTAAAAGGGCATGCTTATTAAATTCCCTCAAATATTTCAACACAGCCACCAATTTTGCTGTTGATATAATGCACGACATTCTAGAAGGAGTTGCCCAGCTAGAGGTAAAACTTGTTCTGCAGTACATTCAGCATAATTTTCTGAGTGCCAATGATCTTGATGGTAGAGTACATGCTTTTGACTATGGTTACAATCAGCAGAGAAACCGTCCTCCAAAAGTCAAATTGCTTGATGGAAGCAATGATTTAGGTTTAAATGCTATTCAATCTTGGTGCTTATTGCGCAATTTGCCTTTAATATTTGGAGATTTAATACATAAAGATGATAAACACTGGCATCTTTTGCTTTTACTTCTGCAGATTGTTAACATTGTCTTTTCACCTGTCTTAACAGATGGCATGACCACTTATCTTAAACATTTGATAATTGAACATCATCGGCTATTTAAAATGTTATTTCCCCAAAAAAATCTTCTGCCAAAACATCACATCATGATACATTACCCACAATGTATAAGGAAAATTGGTCCAATTTTGCACACATGGTGTATGCGTTATGAAGCTAAGCACAAATTCTTTAAAACACAATTAAAAAGTTTCAAAAACATCACCAAAACACTAGCCAAAAAGCACCAGAGTTGTATGGCAATGTATTGGGAGTCTTTTAGCCAGTACAGACTGACTCTTGGCCCAGGAAAGATGGTGGAACTCAGGGAAATTAGAGGTGGCCCAGAGATTGCTTCAAAATTAGGTGTGGTAATATCTGAAATAGTCTATGCTGTAAAGTGGATCAAACATCATGGCACAGAGTATCGTCCTGACTTTATTATCTGCACAGAAGTAGCACATGAGATGCCAGTGTTTTGTAAGATCATGACTATAGCTGTCAAAAATGAAAATGTACTGTTATGTGGCACACTAATGGAAACTGTATGTTTTGATGAGCATTACTATGCTTTTACAGTCAGACTGCATCCAGACAAAGTTTTAACAGTTGTCAATGTAAATGAGCTATGTTATTTCAAACCATTTGATCTTCAAAGAAAATATGGTACAACCGATTCTGTACTTCATATTGTACCATATTGCCATTTTATGCAGACTTGACATTTTTGCACTGTATTTTTGTAAGCCTGAATGTTTTAATAAAAGTTTTAACTGATATTGAGTTTCGTTTTCTGTTTTATTTGTTGTTTAATGTTTTTTTAGTATGTTCAGTAGCATTAAAAAATTGCACCAGAGTGAAATAATGACAGTTAAAGCAACACCATATGGGTTGTAAATCAACTCTTTATTAGTGATGTATTAACATTTGACCGGAGTTGATTTCTGTTTGGTGTTAAATTAAGGAACACCAGACAGAGTTAATTTCTGTTCAGAGTTAAACACCTTAACAATTTTCAGTGTTGACCAGTGTTAAATTTTAACTCAAAATTGAGTTAATTTTACTCTGAAAATATAACACAATGAAAAGTGTTAATTTAACACCAATTCTGAGTGGGACCAAATACACTCACGTGCAGTGTTAAATTTAACTCTTTAAGAGTTTATTCAACACAGCAAAATTTACTGTGTAAGTTTAACGTGTCAACTGTTTATGGATTACAAACATCACAGCTTCATTAACTGCGGTGAAAGCAGTCAGACGGCGGCCTGAGGCGAGAGATTTCGTCTGCTAAATGGATCAAATGCTAGCTAGCATGCAGTAAAGATCACAGAAACTGCACGTTAAGCTAATAATGGCTGGTTTCTAATTAAAAAGCGTTAACAGGCAATCTCTGGTGTCATTTTGTATAGCTTGAAACAGCATTGATTATAAAGTGTTGGAGGAGAAAAGGCACAGAGGTAAATTTTGGCTTGTCTTGGGCTAAACGTATTATTTTTGTATTTACCAAATATTATGTACTGTATGAGAATGTTTTGCCAATGATTTTATATGTAATATTTGATTATTATTATATATTCGTATTTAATAGTTGACTTAAATTTAGACTAATAGTATTTACCAAATATTATTCACTTTTTGTTAATGTTTAATATACATACATATATATATATATATATATATATATATATATGCAATATCACATGAGTAGCAGTGCGATATGGCTGTTTATCGGCACTGGTGGGATGCGTACCTTGGCATGAGGCTGCAGGCGTGACGACATACAGCCATATCACACTGCTACTCGTGTTATTGCATTCATACAACAGTTCGTATAGCATAATTGTGTATATTTACAGGAAAATCATACACATAGAGTCTAAAAATCCTTTTGTATGAGGAACAACTTTCTTCCACCATCCATTCACATATGCAGCTGATGTCAGAACAGCAGAAACCGTTGCTACGTCACAAACATCCTTTCAGAGCTAGTATTGGAATGATTCTCTAGCTTAATGTCTAAAGTGATGACAAAACAGGTGATTTTGTTCACATTTTAAGATCATAAGACTGAAGGGCATAAAATGCCATCAGTCTAGAGACATTTCCCTGTATTTCTCTGTCGCAATCGGGATATTACAATAATTAACCCCGAAAAAGTAAACACTACTAGAAACACTACCAGGTATAAATACAGCACTACAACATACAAAAGAGACTTAGGGGCTGATCACAGTTTTATGTTCCAAAAATGCGATGTGCACAGCAATGCCTTTTTGTTGACAAGAAATAAAAAAAGTGTACTGTATGTCACTAGGCTATTGATATTGGTATAATTTTAATATTTAATAACATTGTGAAATTCAAGATTTGTGAAGTCATACAGCTCCTGATAATTAAAAAAACATTAACCACTAGTCTCTCTAAGATCTTCAAAAGTCTCTGTAGTCCTCTTGACAAAGCCAAAACTGCTGACACCTCAACAGAAACCCTCTCTGCTTTCGTTTAAATCAAGTATGAACAAGACACAACTGATGTAACATTTTTCCGCTCAAAGTTTACTTTTTTTCAACTGCGAGCGTACAGCATGCAACGTCAAAAACACGAAATCTCTGTCGCCTTTTTGGATGGCGGAACGTCATCCATCTCTGCTCTGCTTAGTATGACTGGCTCATGGATGCTGACAAATTATAATTATTTGACCTTAAGGCCCAAAGTGTTTTTTTTTTTTTTTGACAATCTTTTTATTTTTCTCATTTGCTATTATATATAAAAATCATTTCATGATATGATGTACTTTTAGAGAAAAATTATGTCCATAAATGTGGACTCGTGGTCGAAATTTACATAAAATACTTTTTCCTAAATGCATATATAACATAGAATTTTTTATTTATTTATTTATTTTACTATCAGAGAGTAAAAACAACATTTTTTTTCCCGTTTCGTACTGTTAGTTTTATATGTTGCAAAACTGTTGTAGGATGACACTGTATGTCTGCAACAACATATAAAACATTCAAGGTATTTTAAATAGCCACTTAAGAGCTTAAAATGTGCTGTCCACGTATGTTAAAAGGAGGTTAAAGTAAGAGGTTAAAATAGGCACTGTTCTTATAAATAAACTGCATAGTTGCAATCTAAACAAATACTTTCTTGCCTGAAAAGATTTAAAAGTAAATGATGTTGTCCAACAGCTGCAATATTTGTAAAACTATAATCCTCTGCTTGCCACTCGTGTGGGTAAAGTGACATTTAAAGGCTTAACTGGGTTAATTAGGTTAACTTTGCAGATTAGGGTAATTAGGCAAGTTATAGTATAAGAATTGTTTGTTCTGAAGACAGTCAAAAAAATAAAAATAAAAGTAGCATAAAGGGGCAAAAAATGTTGACCTTAAAATGCATCATAAAAAATGAAAAACTGCTTTTATTCTAGCTGAAATAAAACAAAAGGCTTTCTCCAGAAGAAAACAAATATTACCACACATACTGTGAAAATTCCCTTTCTCTTTTAAACATCATTTGGGAAATATTCAAAAAAGAAAAATACATTCAAACGGGGGCTAGTAATTCTGACTTCAACTGTGTATATATTTTATGTATATTTATAATATAATAATATATGTTAATATTATACATTTTTTTAAAGTCTGTTATTTTGGAGACCCTTGATAAAAAAAATAAAAAATTACCTTGTTTGAATATTTAAATTAGTTATTTAATTTTAGATTTTAAGTTTAATGTAAGCTTTTTATCAGATTTTTGTACTGATATATTTTATGTTTTAGTTCACTGTTATAACCCTTCTGTCTTTTTTTCAGTTTAATTTTTAGGTTATATCCATTTTTTTAATTACTTAACATTTCTCTTAAGTTCAGTTAAAAGTAAAGACACTGACACAAGCATTATTAAGAAAATATTTTAAGTAATTTATTAATATTATCTAAAATAATATTATTAAATAATATTAAATTAATAATATTAAAGGAAATAAAATATTACATTGTCAATTAAAATAAACTTTGAGACAGTAATTTTAACACTGACCACTGCATATATTACAAAGATGGAATGCACAAAATTACCTATGATAGAAAAAATTATAACCATGATATTATACCATGATAAATTTTGCCCAATTAATCATATACGAAATTAGTATGATCCTTAATGAAAGATCCTCATAGACGGATGTAAATGTGTCGCCATAGGCCTTCAAGTGTACATAATGTACATTAACTCAAGTATTTTTTTTAATATCAGTGCCTTAGTATGCGCTGGCAGAAGAAACTGGAGATGAGCTATAGGTCAGTGCCGAGCTGTAATTATTTCCCACTTCATTAGGTCCAAGTAAACCGTCATACTCTGTGCTGCAATTAGCTCAATGCCCTTGAGTTTAGAAATTGTCTTAGGATGAGGGCTAACATGATGGGCAGTAACCTTACAGACAGCTACTGACCTCAGAGCTGCTGCATATGTATTCATCATGGTCACATGTCTGGCCATACATCATTTTAGCTTCATTTCGATTAAAGAAATTGACCTTTAGTATAGTTTTACTTTCTGTTTAACATAAACAACACTGCCAGCTTCGGTTTTAAGCTCTACAAATAGCTAAGCAAATAGCTCAGCTACATTTTCAGTTGCAAGATGTAGCATCATTACTTCTTCCTTATCAATATTTGAACAATCAAGTCATGTTTCACACAGTTCACTCATACACTCGATCTTTTGAAGCGGTTTCTCATCTATTAACGCAGTAAAAGGAATATTTTAAACACAGGGAACAAAAAGAGCACTGGATGGATGAAGCTAAATCAATTGAGGCCAAACCTGCAAACGCATCCTATCATTTGACAGCAATGAACAAACTCTTTATACACATGTGAAGCCTGAGAATGACTTGGTGCTGCAGATAAAGAAATTTTCCAACTAAAGAGTTCCAGGCGCACAAAAAAACAATAGTATAATAGCTAAAATTGTACATTTCCTGAGAAAAAGAAACTACAGTTACAGTAATTGTATTTTACTATTTACAAATTCTTACTTAAACCACTATATTTATAAGTGTTTATATAAAAATAACATAATATGATGTTGGAAGATGCTATGCCTTGTTGTTTGTAGCACTAATTGGTCACATTGGCAGAGGTTTGTCTACAAAAAAAATCTATTTTTTATCCATTAGTTTAGCGATGACAGTGATGAAGTACGATTCACGCAGAATTAATGTCCAAACCATACTGCTTTCTATTTATCGGTGTCAAGAAACACATCCATTTTCAAATCTGTGTGGGAAGATATTTATTCTGAGATCATTTCAAACAACAGTATATGTGACTTCACCCAACTGTGTATTTTGCTTAATTTAGCAGTAAGCACATACTAAGTTGTACTGTTGATGATAATAATTAGTCTCTTTGCCAAATTGGATTAATACTGTAGTTTTGGGACACTTTTCAGCTGTTCAGACTGAGGCCCTGTCTACATTGAAAGGTTTAGTTTTAAGATTATATTAATTTAATTTTAAAGTACAACCACCACAAAACCAGACCTTAAAAAAAAGAAAAAAAAGAAAAAAAACTGTTTATATATATATATATATATATATATATATATATATATATATATATATATATATATTTACAACTCTTCATTAATAAATTACACTACATAATGTAGTATCATCAGTAACAAGTATTCAAGCAAGTTAACGAGAGAGAGAGAGATAGAGAGAGAGAAAGAGAGAGAGAAAAGAGAGAGAGAGAGAGAGAGAGAGAGAGAGACTCCGCTATGTAACCAATATAAAGTAATATAAAACTGTGGCATAAAGTTTGTCATGCGCATAAATCACGTGATGGACTACATTAATATGCCTACTGGTTTAAAAAGGCCTAGATTAAATGAAGATGGCAAAATTAGATCTTTTCTGTCATGCACTAAAGTGAAACAACTTGTCTAAAATAATTTTAAAAAAGGAAATCCTGTGAACATATTACAGGAATGGAGAAAGAGTGCTCTTTTATTATCAGCTGTCGGTCAACACCCATTCTTTTTTTTTCCTGGTCATCGCGTCTTTGCCGTGTGCTGTTTAAATACAGACAACTGGATATGAGTCTCTTTTAAAAGATGATGTAAGGAGGTCAGAAAAAAAAATCAGATAAAGTGACAAAATTTAAATTGACTATCAAGATCTGCAGTGTAAATGCAGCCTAAGTAAACTGTAAATTTAGTAGCCACAGTCTAGTGGAATAAAGACAAAACAATTCATTTTCCCCAGCATTTTTAAATGAGAGAACACAGTCACCAAAACTACAGAAGGCTCTTTTATGTATTCAATAGTTACACAATCAATAATCACATCAATAATATTAATTCTATACATCTTTATCATTATAGCTGGGGTCTGAACTCTGCTGTTGTTTTTTAAATTTAAAGATCTTTAAAATTATGTTTTCAGCATTATCTTTACAGCTACCATGCTTGGTGTGATTATTTAGTTGGCTAATGATGGTTTTGGGAAATACAAGTACAACCTGTGATAGATTTGTACTAGTACAAGTACAGCACTAGCCTGCACCAGTGGGAATGAAAGTGGGAAGCCCAAAATGAAAGACATTTAATTGTCGCACAGTAAAAAAATAAAGTTGTCGTGTGTCTCTGTGCTTCATGCCGTGTTGTGACGTTTGGACATCACACACACGCCTAAGAATCTGTCCTACACACGCTTTATTAAGCATGACTGTTTGCACTCGCAAGTCCTGTTTCTCACAATAAATGAATGTGAAATTTGTCTGAAGGTGACGGTGTGGTTCCTCATGACCCTCCTCCCTCTCCTGGTGAACTGGTGTTGTTATTATGAGCAGGCTGAGGTGGGGAGAGCTGGCTTGTTATGGCTGACATGTCACTCTTGCGGCCGTTCCCAGGTGAGGCGACTGTGGAGGAGTTATACGACAGGATGTTCACTGTCACCAGCCGGCTCAGGCTCACCGTCTCTAAGGAGGACGATGGAGTGGCCGTCATCTGCATCATTGACCATCCAGCCGTGAAGGACTTCCAGGCCCAGAAATACCTGGAAGTGCAGTGTGAGTCATCTCAAGATGGAGAGAAAACTTTCAACTGTAAAATTGCCTTGTTTTAATTTTCCCACCTGCATGCGAGGTCAATCTGAATCATGCTGTAAAGAACGAAAGTTACACAACTAGGAATGAACACAAGAGAAGCTTAACAGGAATAGTTCACTCAAAAATTTAAATGATTCGCCCTCATGTCATATTTCATATTGTCTGTGGAACAAAAGTAATGGTTTTTTAAGCTTTTTCATGCAGCACTGATGTTGTAATGAGCGAAAGAACCTTTTGTTACACAATTAGACCTTTTTTAAAGACATTCACAAAAGAGAAGCCAAGACTCACTTATTTTACAGGAATTATTCACCCCCAAAATATTTTTAATGGTGCTGTATGTAAGTTTTTGACTCTTCTAAAACATACAAATACCATATTGTGTTTGCAGATATTGAAGAAACGTGCTAAGTGAACATTTTTGTTTATCTGAAAAGCATTGCTGAAGTCAGTTATTCTGTTTTAAAAATGTCTGTTACTTGTTGGAACCTTTGTCTTTGTTTTGGTTTGGTTAGCCAATTATATTTCAGCTCCCATATTGCCTTATTGGAAAACCGCGTATTTCAGCCATTCATTCAGAAAGGCTCTCAAAGCATGCACCCATGACTGAAATGCAACTTCCGGTGGGCAGTAGCAGACTCCAAAATGAGACGCAAACTCAGAGTTTTACATGAGGTGTTATTAATTAGCAAATAATGGAAATATTACGAACGTAAACATTAGGTGAGCAGGTTACATTGTAACTCTCTGTCCTAACAACATGCAACATAACGAGATTTGCAGCTATAAGCAGTTTGGTAGAAGAAAAGCAGACAAAACATGACAGAAATTTAAACACAGTCATTCAGAAGCACAGAATATGCACTCGCTCACGAAATTTTCTAATCTACTTAATACATATAACATTTTCTTATCTATTTAATACATAATAAACCTCTCTAACCTTATTAAATGTACATGCTGATTGGCTTGCACTGAGTCACAGATCTAAAGTTCAATATCAAATGGTTTATTTCATTTTCACAATCTGAAGTAAACTATCTGTTCCCACATAGCATAATTTCTCTGGCCCAGCTCTGGCCCACACAATCAGGTTTTGCTTGGCCCACATACCACTGTGAATTACGGTACATGACTGGACCAAATCTGGCTTCCAGACAAGAGCCAAACACAGACCATATCTGGGCCAAGTCTCAGCCAAGTTAATAACTCATAACTGGGCCTGAACTGGGCCAGTAAGGTTGGTGTGTCACGATTGCAATGAAATTAATAAACCTATAAAGCGTTGTGCTTTAGGCACACTATGGGCCTTGTTTTTTCTCAGTGACCTGATTGGTAGAATTAATTTATTTAATCAAAAATTATTTTTATGTATTTTAAATGTGGGTCAAGACTGGCCAAACTCACTTGGCCCACAATCAATTTTTAAAATCAGGGCCAAATATTACGTTTTACATCTGGCCCAAATCTTGTGTGCCGCATGATAGACGGTGCCACCTCTGCCAAACCCAGGCCATGGTTGGGCCACATGCTGTATGCCAGTGCCGGATGAATGCCTGATGTCCCAGCTTTATGCCAAATCTGGGCCAGAATTCTTTGCTACTAGGGTTGCTGCTTTTAGTAGTGTGGCAATAAATGTCATGTAAAATGGCATTTAAACTCACAATAAGAGCATTTATCACTGGACAAAGCACATGAAATGTACCTGAGGTGATCATTGTCAGTTTTCTGTTGTTCAGTTGTAAGAAATAGAAGCCATTTCTAATATATCAATTTGTGGTCTTGTTTAGAAGAAAAATCCTTTTAATATGGAAAATATTCCTTCTATCGAGTGTCGTCAGTTTGGCAACCTTCCCTTGCATTTGTTTTGATCCAGGAATGCAATACCTAGTTCAACTATTGGGTGTCAAACTTACATGCTGCACCTTTAAGCTGTGTGTCTTGTTTATTTCCATGCTTTTTTAGTAACAACAAATCTACATTATTAAAAGACATCTCAATCAAAAAAAAAAAAATAATCATAATTTTTTCAGGGCGAAGCAGTGGCGCAGTAGGTAGTGCTGTTGTCTCACAGCAAGAAGGTCGCTGGGTTGCTGGTTCAAGCCTTGGCTCAGTTGGCGTTTCTGTGTGGAGTTTGCATGTTCTCCCTGCTTTCGCGTGGGTTCCCTACGGGTGCTCTGGTTTCCCCCACAGTCCAAAGACATGCGGTACACGTGAATTGGGTAGGCTAAATTGTCCGTAGTGTATGAGTGTGTGTGTGTGTGTGGATGTTTCCCAGAGATCGGTTGTGGCTGGAGGGGCAAAAGTTAGCGGTTCATTCCGCGGTGGCGACCCCGAATTAGTAAAGGGACTAAGCCGACAAGAAAAAATGAATGAATGAATGAGTTTTCTCATCCTCTACCTATGCTGAACACAGAAGATATTTGAAAAATCTAAGATACCCACTGACTTCCACAATATTTTTTCATTTTTTCTCTCCTACTATTTGCTGTCTTTATTATGGCCATTTAACATTTGTTTACATCTTTTGTGTTCAACAGCAGAAAAAAAATCCCATACTGGTTTTAGTATACTGTAACATGCTCAGTAAATGTATATATTTGGGTGAACTATCCCTTCAAGCTCCAACAATGACTAAATTCATTAAAAATTAAGTTTAAGTGAACCAGTTGTTTTCAATGACTACGTTTACATAGCCATCAATAATCAAATTATTTAAATAGTATATCTGAATAGGACTACAATATGATTAAGGTGTTTACATGAGTTACTTTTTGAATGTTCCTGTCATGATCCTAGTTTACATGTTAAAGCACATAATTCGATTAACATCATTCCGTCACCACGCTATCCACATTTCCTCCAGATTTTTATGTAATTTCGAATGTTTGTTCTTAATTTGTCGACTTTAACTGCAGTTTGGCACTTTCACTTTCATTCAGGAACATTTCATGCATTCAATGTATGCAATATCCTGTATGCTGCGTGCTTATTCAATATCCTACTACCATCCTACACGATGGTAATAGATTAAGCGTTTAAATGTCTACTGCCCAATAATGTGACTAAAATCGGCTCACTCCACATGTCCACGTGTCGATTTCTGATTAGATGACCATAATCATATTCAGTTAATCAAAAATCACTGTTAAGACCCACATAGCAAAATTTCTCACTCCCAGATCTGGCCCACACCATCAGCATTTGCTTAGCCCACGTCGCAGTGAATTACGGTACATGACTGAACCAATTCTGGCTTCCAGGTGCAATATGGACCATATCTGGGCCAAGTCTCAGGCAAGTTAATAACTTGTTAAGACTGTTAATAACAGTCTTGGACAAATGCCTGCTGTGTCAGTTTTATGCCAAATCTGGGCCAGAATTCTTTGCTACCTGGGAATGGTAGACTCTAAATCAGAGGATTGTCTTAATTATTTTAAAATTAGATAGTGATGTAAACGTACTCATTGAACCACAAAAGATTCTTTTAGACTGAACAGTTGGTCTCTTGACTCAGAGTGACTCAGTGATCCATTTGGCGTTTGCAGTTCACTAGAGGGGAAGATTATGTGAATAACAGGTTAAAATGTCAAACCTAAACATATTATGTGAATTCAGAAGACGTGAAATCGTATGCATTATTGTAATATCCATTTGTTGATGTTCCTGTTTTAGCCGTGGCCACTATGAACTGTAGGATTTATTTTAATTTCTTGCACAGAAGATTTAAAGTCATACTGTATGTGATTGAAAGGGAACTGAGTGAGTAAATGATGACAGAAATAAAATTTTGGTCTGAACTATTCCTTTTAACCTGGCCAAGGTCTAGGCATTTGCTTTAATTAAAACAGACCCTGTCTTGTTATGCGTAAGCATGAAATGCTGTCCGCCAAATAATGCATTGATTAAGAGCGTTTGCTGCACCTTTTTTTTTGTGTGGCACGGGAAGTCCTGGAAAGGTTAACCTACCCTTTTGTAATCTTGGCAGAATATTAATTTATTCAGATAGCTGACTGCTCAGGGTGACCTTTGAGAAGAAAAGGCAGGAGGGATCAGCTCAACTGTAACAGCTTGACATTTTGACTAACATAGATAAAAGAGAAGAAGAAAAAACATTTTACAGTACTGTTAAATTGACTGTTTAAATTCATAGCAGTGTCATCCTCCCTCACACGCTTTAGCCGGGCTATAAAAATCACATCCTGTCATGTTCGCACTCTTTTAGGCTCACTGGGTTGACTTAATATAGTGTAATGTGAACACTAAAGCCCACAAGATCTGCTGGCTTCATTGTGCTGCTCTTTGTATTAAGTATGAATGCGTAATACATGTGAATGTATAAATGCGAGCACGCAAATGATGTCCAAACCTGCCGGGGATGTTTTCTAATCAGACTGAGAGGCAGGTATGTGGCCTTAGAATGATAATTAGATAGATACAATAGGTTCAAGGGTACAGAGCCCAATCAATGTACCGCAGTGCAAATGGAAACGAGTGTGTGTTTGTGTCTTTGTTGTGTCCGTTGTGCAGATAAACCAGAAGTGAAGATTGTGGTGGGATTCCCAGAGGGTTTGACCAGAGAAGGAGAAAATCTCGAGCTGACATGCAAAGCTAAAGGAAAACCGCAGTGAGTCCGACACAAGGCCCTCGAGCCACTTTACTCATTTCAGATGAATTTGTTTGCTTGCTTTATCATGCAGATAATAACAGATGATAACTAGAATAGTTTGGTTATATAGACAGGTATGGAAGTTAGATTTCAAAACTTGTTTGTATTTATAGTCTTTTGCTTATATCAAATATAGTTGTTTTTTTCCATAGACAGACAGATCTCAGTTTTGATGTGTTTATATTTTGAATTATATATAATTGTGCATTTAATTGCTTTTGAGTATTTTGTGCTTTGCTTTTTTGGACCAAAAAGGATTCAAATGCAATTTAGTTTTTGGCTAGATAAGAGTATATCACATAACAGCTGTCATATCCTGCTCATTTTAACTGAAAGGTCACTTTAGTGCTCAATGCAAACCACTTTATGTGTAAACTGGGTGTTGCCAAGACATTTATTTCAGGATGTATGGGCACCTACGGGGAGTGGGGGGTGGTGGATGGTGAGGGGTGCCCAATCTGTTTTAGGGTCACCAGAGTTACCATTGAGGGACCAAGTAAATCCGCAAACATCCCCAGTTTTCACCCCCTTTTCTGAATACTAAAATGGAATATTAAGTATACTGTAAAAATATTATATTAACAATTAGTCCTGGCATCAAATGTTTTTAGGTCATTGTAACTTATTAAACAAAGTTATTCATCTTCTAACCTAATTTTATAAGTTAGGCAAGCTGTTTTTAGGCAGTTTAACATAATATAAGTCCAATAGACTAAAAATGTTCAGTTTATTCAGCGTAAAAGTTTAAGGCAACCAGGATTTTTTACAGTGTACGGGGTGTGGCGTTGTTTTTGTGCATAATTCACTAGTAGCAAACTAAAGGTAAAAAGAAGGTAGTTAGGAATATTATGGCTGAAGACGTCAAACTTACACTACTGGTCAAAAGTTTTTTTTAATTTTTTATTGTTTAAATAATTTAAATAAAACTAATCTGTATATCAAGGCAGCATTTGTTAAATGTTGTAAAAAATGTTCAATTGTTAAAAACTTATTTATTAAGTATGTATTTATTGCTTATTTTATGAAGTTTCAAATGAAATTATTACTCAGGTCATTTTGCTTTTATTAATAAAAAATACCATTACTAATAATAATAATGATAATTAATAATAACAATAATAACAATAATAATAATAATAATTATATTGATAATATTATTATTATTATTATTAATATTAGATTGATTTCTGAAAGATCATGTGAATCTGAAGACTGGAATATTGAAGCTGAAAATGCATCATTAAAATAAATAAATTATTAATAATACATTTTAAAAATTGAATTATGAGCTAGTTAAAGTTATTTTATAGTGCAATAACATTTTGCAATTTGTGTCTTCTAAATTAAAGAATTTGATAAATGATTTACAGACCTGTGTATGTTGTAGGTTCAGTTCCAATATGTACATATAAGGGTGTATTTATTCTTTTGCACAATGCTGTAAATAAATTAGCATTGCATATGCATAAAAAATGTGAAACAGATATTCAGTGGCTTGTACTCAGATACCTTACTAAATGCAGTGATGTCCAACTTTACTATAGTTTTCAATTGGCTGTGCAAATAGTAAATAGTGCTGTCTTGAGCATTTTCAAGAAGTGTCACCAAAATCTTACTTTTTAGCAATGGAAAAAAATTACAGAGTAAACTATCATAATGAAAACAGGACAAAGACATTTGACTTTCTTGTTCATAAACAATGGTGTCAGGACATTTCATCTTGATGACACTGACATTGATATCAATACTACCTTTTGAGGAATGAGCTCTCCAGTTTGAGCAAGTGACACACTTTTGCAGGTTATCAACTAGGTTTTGCAGTTTGTACTCATTGTTTTGGGAAATGCATTAACTGTTGTGCAAATGTAAATACTGTTGTATCTCTCAATGTGGGTTGTAGTGTTTAAGACAATATTACATGCTATTTTGAGCAGTTTTATTGTAATGTTTTATAATGTTTTATAATCAGTCTCAGAACCTTTCACTCCAACCTATGCTTATATCTTGTGTTAATTCAAACTATTTAGTAAATGTGGACCAGACAGACATACAGACAGACAGACAGACAGACAGACAGACAGACAGACAGACATTTAGATAGAGCTCAATCTAAAATAGATATATAAATATCTAAAATATATAGTTTGTTATACTGTAGCTGTATTTATTGGATCTATTATCTATTAATGATCTATTAATGATAAAAACTGTCATATTTTGCAACAGAAATCAGCTGATATGTGGAGTAAACTGAACAAGTCTTTGCAGCTGAGCTTTGACAGCATTGTATGCATTTGTTTGCAGGTGGTGATTTTATAGCAGCTCTAAAGTTGTCCTGAATAAAGCGCATTATCCTCTCTGCCTCTGTCTGAACATTTTCACACTGAGCACTAAATGATTACTCTGATGTTTTACAGGCCTCATCAAATTAACTGGCTCAAAGTGGATGATGATTTCCCCTCCCACGCCTTGGTAACTGGCTCTGATCTCTTCATCGAAAACCTTAACAAGTCCTACAACGGAACGTACCGCTGTGTGGCATCTAACTTAGTGGGAGAAGCCTACGATGATTACATCCTTTATGTATACGGTATGTACTTCAACTTAATCTGCTGCTGTAAACAATAATATATGAGAGCAGCGTTTCCCAGACAGCTAAATCTATAGGCTTGGACAAAATGACACCGTTAATGGCTAGTTTTCAGAATCAGTCTAGGTCTTAATCTGTGTCTGGACAGCAAGCCCTTGATGACGGCTTGTAATGTTGTGTTGTGACTCGAGGATTTCAAGTCCTCATATATTTTCGGTTTCAAAGCTCTGTGTTTTGCTCTCTTGTTTGATGTCTTGTGTAAGGCAGGACCGTTTAACCTTCTGTTGCTCTGGTTTTTCTTCAATTGGTGCCAATAAAAATGATTATTTAGGATTAGCAACTAGTTTTTGATCACACAATACAGTATACTTGTTTCGGAAGTTAGTACTGGAAATCTGCCTTTATTAAAGGCTTTTTTATTGTTATTTTTTCCCTCCATCAAAAACATGATTTATATTCCTTAGTAAGCAGGCTTTTCTCATTTTGAACATATAAATTATTTGAATGTTTTGAGGAATTTGCTTAAATATGTTTGTTGCCTGAAGCAATTCTGCATGATAGTGGGCTGGATATGAACGTAGGGGATTTAAATCCACTATATTGCACTTATTATTTATTTACTTTTTATTGAAGTATCAACATTTTTAGCATTTAAATATTTTGGTTTGTTTGTTTTTTTATGATTTAGTACCTCATAATTATAAAGACTTAAGGACCAGGGAAAAAGGAAAGTGTAAACTGAGAAAATATCATATGCTATTCCTTATATGCTAATGGACTACTGAGACATTCCAAGCATGGGTTGGGTCCTCCTGGCATGGCAGAGTTTATCACAGCTCCAATACACGTCTCTGCCATTTGTCTTACAGTAACCATGTACTTTTCACCATACACAATTTGTCTGCTTGTGATCTTCCTTCCTATAACTTTGTCATGTTTGGTGACATTTGACAGTTTATGACTTCAGCATTATAGTGATGAAATCAATAGAGAAATTGATGTATTTCAATATAAGATCTGTTTACTATTGTTGAGTCATGGCCTAAGGAGAGTATGTTAATGTACTTCTCCCCCACTTTATCTCCTCAACTTTACTTTGATGTTCGGCTGGTTTAGAGGATTTGGTATTTGATTGACAATGTTTTGCTCAGGGTATAAAAAGGAAAGGTAACTGTTGATCTGGAAGAATGGCTTTTACTCTGCGTCTCCCGCACACCACACTGCACCGCACCGCACCGTAGCCTCATATGTTAAGAAAGTATCTTTGTTACACAGTACTTTAAATGTTACAGCTAATTTCTTTATACAGTATGTAAGTTTGTATCATTCTATTGTCTGAATATTTAAACATGTATCCTAAAAAACAATTTGAGATTCTCTTTATCAATGATGATAAAGTGCATCCGGAAAGTAAATGGATTAAATTAATTTATTTCATAAAATTGTTGCAAATGTATTAAAAATAAAAAACATGAAAAATTACATGTACATAAGTATTCACAGTCTTTGCTGTGAAGCATTAAATTGAGCTCAGGTACATTCTGTTTCCACTGATCATTCTTAAGATGTTTCAGCAGCCTAATTGGAGTTCACCTGTGGTAAATTCAGTTGATTGGGCATGATTTGAAAAGGTATACACCTGTCTATATAAGGTCCCAGGGTTGACAGTGCATGTCAAAGCACAAACCAAGCATGAAGACATAGAAATTGTCTCTAGACCTCCGAGACAGGATTGTCTCAAGGCATTAGGCTGGGGAAGGTTACAGAAATATTTCTGCTGCTCTAAAAGTTCCAATGAGCACAGTGGCCTCCATCATCCGTAAGTGGAAGATGTTTGGAACCACCAGGACTCTTCCTAGAGCTGGCTGGCCATCTAAGCTGAGTGATCAGGGGAGAAGGGCCTTAGTCACGGAGGTGATCAATAACGTGATGGTCACTCTGTCTGAGCTCCAGCGTTCTTCTATGGAGAGAGGAGAACTTTACAGAAGGACAACCATCTGTGCAGCAATCCACCATTCAGGCCTGTATGGTAGGGTAGCCACCGCTCATCACCAGGCTAATACCATCCCTACAGTGAAGCATGGGGGTGGCAGCATCGTACTGTGGGGATGTTTTTCAGCAGTGGGAACTGGATAGAGGGAAAGATGAATCCAGCAATATACAGAAACATCCTGAATGAAAACCTGCTTCAGAGTGCTCTTGACCTCAGACTGGGGCGATGGTTCATCTTCTAGCAGGACAATGACCCAAAGCACACCGCCAAAATATGAATGGAGGAGCTTCACAAGAACTAGGGAGATCTAAAAATGGCTGTACACTGTTGCTTCCCATCCAACAGGAGCTTGAGAGGCACTGCAAAGAAGAATGAGTAAAAGTTATCAAAGATAGGTCTGCCAAGCTTGTGGCATCATATTCAGAAAGACTTGAGGCTGTAATTGCTGCCAAAGGCGCATCAACAACGTATTGAGCAAAGACTGTGAATACTTATGTACATGTGATTTTTCAGGTTTTTTATTTTTAATAAATTTGCAACAATTTCAAAAACTCTTGTTTCACATTGTCATTATGGGGTATCGTGTGTAGAATTTTGAGCAAATAAATGAATTCAATTTATTTGGAACAAGGCTGTAACATAAAAAAAGAAAAAAAATTGGAAGAAGTAAAGCTAAAAATACTTTCCGGATGCACTGTAACTTAATAAACAACTTTACCTGCTTTAAGGTGTTGAGATTATTTATCTGTATCAATGATGATAACATTTTTAATGGAGTCAGATTAATTACAATGGAGTCAGATTAATACTTGATTTAAACACGCCATCCTTTAAATGCATTCCATTTCCAATTATTGTTTCAGAATAGCAGCGTAAGCTTCAAGCCTTGCAAAAGAAAGAAAGGAAGGAAAGAAATGTCACTTTGGAATATTCACAAACATTTAAAAGAATAAAAATCTGTCTTTGAACGATTTCTTTCAAGCACCAAATGGCAAACCTAAAAAGAATCCATCCTCATCCCAAATTATTTTTTTAAATTTGTGTTTGACTCTACTAATGAGGTCCTTTTTATGCGAGACAAGTGAATCCCAAATTTCGTTTCAACATTGTTTTGGTAATGCGTGCAATAGAGGGTTAATTGTTTTACTGAATGCGCTTCACCTGAGAGTTTTTCATAGTACTACTCTTATTAACGCAGGAAGTGCATTGTGTTCAGTGCATGTTTAATCCTTAACAAGGCCTGACAGCTGGATTTTTCAAAGCCCAGGCAATAATTGCTATGACAGTGGCACTTGAAGCCTGGGATTTAACAAAGCTTTGCTTTGCTGTAGAAGAATTGAAGTGTTGTTATTGTTTAACGCAGGTTGTGTTTGGGACTGTTAACTGTCCAGCAGCTGCAGCTATTACAGGCTGTCCTGTTGAGCTGAAGACATTAGCCTGAAGAGATGGAAGAGGGTAGCTCATCATTGAGGCGTTTGTCTCCGCAGTTATTAGCCTCTGATAAAGCTGATATCAGAGGCAGGTGCTTGGGGATGATGTCATCAGCGTCCCATCTGCAGATGGGAGAGTTTGCGTGCCTCTCATGCCTGGAAGCAGTTCCACTTCCAGCTCAGCTCAATGTCTGTCACCTCTACCTGAGCAAACACCACCTGCTGATTACTGCACTTCCTCTCATTTCCACTCAGCTTCAATGGGAAAATGTGCGTCTTTACAAAACTCCACAAGCGTACACACAGGTCACAGTAGTTTCAGCTGAAATGGACACATGAGACAGCAAATTTTATACTTTTTCACTTAAATTGGAATTATATCACAAATTATTAATGTCTGAATCAATTTGTCTTCTTAAAGTGAAAGTACACCCATAAAATTGAAATACCTCCATCTTAACTTTCATCTGTGATCCAAACCAGTTTAAGTTTTTTGGTTCCCCTAAACACAAGATATTTATTTATTTATTTATTAATTAATTTATTTATTTATTTTTGTCAAATAAGTTTTATTGAAGACAGATTCAGAAAGAAAAAGGATTCTGTTTACATATTTTGTCCACATATAATATAAGCAAAAAAAAAAAAAAAAAAAAAAAAAAAATATATATATATATATATATTTTTTTTTTTTTTCAGAATCATAATAGATTAAAAAAAACACCCACATAACAAACCAACTTGTTACAAAGACCTGTTTAAACAACAGAGTATGATAACAAAGCATATTAAAACATTACAGAAATGATGCATTATTTGACAAGGTTTTTTTCAAGGTAACAGATAAAAGCATTCCAAATTTTGTCAAATTGTTCGAGATTTCTTTTCAAATAATCTCTGATTTGCTCCAAATATAACAGACGTAATTTCTCCAAGCCACAGTTGACATGTAGGGGGTTCCTTTTTTTTTCAAAAGAGTAGCAGTAGCTTCTTGGTTAAACAGAATGAAAGCAATTTATGTTGTGTATTTGTTGCGTTTGTTCAAAGAACAACGGTTACAATGGATACAGTTATAATTGCGACTTCAAAACCTTAGAAAGAACTTTAAAAACTCCATTCCAGTAATTCTTTATCTTAAAACTCTGACATAGATCTGCATCTGATGAATTACATTTGTCGCAAAAGGGTGAAATATTTTGGAAGATTCAATTATTTTTTTCTTTACATGATGTAACATATGAATAAGACAATGTCTAGAATTAATAGAGTGTTTATAAATATCCTCAAAACCTGAATGCCACATTTCTTCCAAAATTCCCTCTCCCAATTCTTTTTTCCCACTCTTGCTTAAAACATTTTGTGGAGGGTGAAGAACACAAGCTATTTTGAAGAAAACTGAAAACCTGTTACCATTGACGTCTATAATAAGAAAAACAAATACTATGGAAATCAATGGTTACGGGTTTCCAACATTTTTCAAAATACATTCTTGTGTGTTCACCGTAACAAAAACAACTCCAACTGGTTTGGAACAAGGTCAATGGTGTGTAAATGATGGCAGAATTTTCATTCTTGGG